TTTTTCTGAAGTAAATAGTGACTTGCTTATTTGTGTTGCGTATTTATCTCCAAATAATTCATTGCTGCTTTTGATAAGATCAAATTGATTCGACTATGTCAGTATCATCCGATAGATTTTGATGCAGCAGATATCCTAGAACTTGATGATCAATTAGATACGTATATTCTTGATATGCGCACTTCTGAAGACTTTGAAGAATTACAAGATATTAGCGATCTTGCACAGGAGTTGGTTGTGAAGAATAAACATGAAATGTATCCATTAGTCTACAAACTTGTGACACTAACCTTAGTTCTTCCCGTGGCTCCTGCTACAGTCGATAGAGCATTTTCTGCGATGACTTACGTCAAAAATCATCTGCGCAATCGAATCGGAGATCAATGGTTGAATGATAGTTTGATTGCATATATTGAGAAAGATGTTTTTGATAAGATTGAAAATGATGTAATTATAGAACGTTATCAAAGTATGAGAACACGTAGAGAGCAATTGTAATAAAATATATCCTATTTTAATTTTTTCATCACTTTTTTAAAAGTTCGTTACTGACCCCCTAGTCTAAAATGTCTGCGTCCGCCCTTGGCTACACAAACAAAGACATTATTGAAATGTTGATATCATATTTACCAAAGATATTATTTGCTGCAACATTTGGGAATTTGATAAAACACAATATAAGGAAATTTTTTCCTTGGTTAGAGTTTTGATTCATTTGACATTCCTGTCAAGGTTTAATATTGAACTTTTGTATTAAAAAGAATAATGTAGCAAATTTCACTCACTGGGGGTTTTTTCTAGTAAATTTCAACAAAATCTATTATTTGTGCATTGGATTCATGGAGAGTGAAAATATTAAATTTATGAATGTTCACGACCTACAAAATATTTGTCATCGATATAACTTTGTAATTTTATTTTCGTATATTACAGATTGAATATGGACTCTTGAAGGGAGTATGGACAATATCTAATTTGTTAATGTACATAGACCATCACGACGACCACAATCAACTAGGAATGATGGATGAATATTTTGTATAAAGATAGTAGGATTGAAAACTCGACACACTAGATAGAGATGACATGGTATGAAGATTTTCATTTTTTGAAATTAAGAGAAGTAGCTGTATTATATTTCAATCCCTCATATTTTGTTCCGTAGGATACTCAAGACAATATTTTGTTACTTCAATTTTTTTAATAATTAATTACATTAATTTTTCATCATTGGTATCTTGTCCCATCCAATTTTTGTTAAATAAGGTGTTTTTTTGAGTAAAAACGTCATTAAAAGGGTTGTTAAATTATGATGAATTTTAAATCTTATTCAAAGGTCATTTGCGTTTCTGCTCATCCCAAAAGTTATTCACTATTCTCCATTACTACAGTAGAAAAAAGTTTATCTTTATTCTCTTGTATATTTAGCCCCTATTTCTAGGTTATTATTGGGTCAAAACAATATTTTGAATATTGATTTTTAGAAGAATGTGTTGCTAAAAAATAGGGAACAAAATATTTTATTATGTGAATATGTGGTTGAAAATGATTATGTAAAAAAAAATTATTTTTAAATAATGATTGTCAAACAGAGGCTTAGCCTCTCTTATTATGTTCATGTTTGACTCAACTAATTTTTTTTTATTAAAATTTAAGTTAAAGTCAATCACGTGTTTTATCAACTTTTTATTAAAATTTACGAAAAGTTTTATTTTTATCTAAAGTCTATTCAGAATAATTACCTTGTAATTATTTTATATAAACAATTTTAGCTGTGTTTGGTAGTCATTTCTCGACAATTTTTAGAACTTTTTTGACCGTCGGAATGGTGACGTGGGCCCTTTGCAGCCGTCCTTTTTGACTTAGCAAGAAGCAAATTCTCTAAAATGCCACTCTTAGAATGCAATGAAATAAATGCAAAGGGGTTCAAAGGTAATTTTCCTTGAATTTGTCAGTAAATGTAGCTGCCATCATACTGTATAACGGGAAGAAATTCTATTAAAATTTGCTGAAAATAACTACCGAACACACTCTAAATATTAAATTTCATTCTTTTGTAGATTTTTATAAAAGTAAATAAAGTGTACGATTCAAGAGTTTATAAAAATTTTGAACCCCAGCAAACATGCGATTAAAATTGATTATTTACTTTAACCTCAAAATTTTAACAATTTTCTGAGCGAGTTTGGATATCAAAACAATTTTAACCTCAATCGTTATTCCCAAATAACTAGAACGTGACGTAATTGATATTCGATCAAAAAAATAATTAATTTTAATCACACATTTCATAAAATTTGTAATATTTCAATCACGTATTTTATCAACTATTATCAAATTTTACTAAGCCCCCGTTTGGTCTCCATTTTTTTCAAATTAAAATAGGTAAAATAGTATTTTTTGGAGAATGAGTAGTTGAACAAGAATGAAAATTTTTGATTTGTGTGTAATATTTATGTATAGAAGATTGTGTGATTGAAAATATGAAAGAGGAAAATGAAATTTAATTTAATGGGGACCAAACGAGAGTTAAAATATAATTTTAATCTACAACAAATGGGGGCAAGATCTTGAATAGCCCATGTTTGGTTTAACTAAAATAAATTGATTAAAATCCAACTACATATATCATGGAAACACAACTTTTCAACCATGCGTTACTCGTTTGACTTCTATTGTGGTCAAGGTTTACTCTTCAAACTTTAAAATGCTTCTCAATGGTCAATCATATTTGAGACTGTTGCGCTTCATCATCATCCATTAGATTTTGTTCTCCTCGTTGATTATGTGTTACACGAAAATCCCACTTGGCAAGTTATGGTGGTTAAAAAATTTAAAACTCAACAAAATCATCTATATAAAATATTTCATAACTCACCCAACTTATACCATGATCACGATTTACTCATCAAACTTTAAACTGCTTTCAAATAGTCACTCATATTTCAGATGTTGCATTCCATCCATCATCAATCAGATTCTATTCATCTCGTTGCATCTGTGTGGCATGAAAATCCCACACAACAAGTTTATGTTAAAAAAATTATAATTCAGTCAATCATTCAAATAACCAAAATCATCGTATGTGAAATACGATTAATAAACTTCTTTAAGCCCCAATTATTTGTTTCCAATTTCAACCAAAAAAAAAAACACTAGCTCCCAATTCAATCATATCGCCCATGTACAACTAAATTATGTACCGAGACAAGGTTGACTTTTGAGAAGGACGAGGGAAGCTAATAATTATAAAGCCCCATCTCTCAATTATACCATATGATCGATGTCTAATTAATCTCAATCCTCCATTTTCGGAGGCACGTGTCCAACCATTTGTGAAGGAAAATGTCATCAAATTCCGATTGTTGGCGTACAATTGAGTTGTAAAATTTTTGAAGGTCATAACTGTTAGGTGAAATTTTTGTGCGAAATAAGGGAACCGAAATCTGGCGGATGATAGATGAAATACAATGTGTCAAAGACCAGTGAATATTGGAAAGTAATTTGAAGTTTGATGAATAAACCCAAGAAAACGCCCTCTCAGCATCCAACCAGAAGCCTCGTTTCTTTCGTCGACGATGAAGACTCCTCGGAGATCCCCTTTTCTTGCCCTTTCCTGCGAACCCACATCTTCAAGATTCTCCAAATCAACACACAAGCTTATCAGAGATTGTTATAACTGAACATAAAGCTAAGAAATGCAGGATGTTACCCGTGTGGGAAATTCTAAATTTTTAATTAAATTATAAAAAGGAATAATTATCGAGTATACATGTGGTAATTGTCTGTTGTCAAATGAAAAGCCTTGTGTAATTTCTTTGTGGCTGGCTATACACTTAATAAGCAACTTATGCTAAAAAAAGGTCTCAATCAAGGCATCGCTGCAGCGGCCTTCTCGTGCTACGGCTCTAAATTCGAATGGTGTGTTCTTCCACAATTCACACAAGCTTTAGTTCAAGCAAGGGCGATTTTTTGATAAATTAGAAAACAAACATCTTGTTGAGTCCAGCTTGCTAACCATGTTTAAGCTAGCATTATATATCGAGGATGTAGTTGGGTGGCTCCTCTGTAGGTTACCTGCCTTGACTAATCGCTCATGAATCGTAGATAAATCGTTCTGTTACGTGTTTGCACACTTGGGCAACCAATCGGGGCTCACAGTCAATTCATGTCGAACCACTTGGCACTGAAGCCGAGGTGGTTTACATAGCCGAGGCCCATATATGTCGAGGCCCAGCTATCATTGCCTCTTGAAGAGCTTCCGAAGCCCATATGCCGAGACACT